TTTCCTTAAATGTAGTTTGATGACGTGAATTTTATATTTTATGGGTGTGCCTTGGTGAGATCGAAATAAGTTAAAATAGATTGAAGAAGTATGGAGTGAAAACCTCGAAAATTATATTGTTTGAAAAGGAAATAAAAAGTTCAGCTGTTCTTGGAATAACCAATAATCTCCAACTGCAATTTCTCATTCAATCAATAGCTTTTATAAATCTGCCGTCAGAAAAGGGAATGCAAAGTTTGATGAACGCTATAGTCTTTTAAAACAGGAAAATCTTGTCTTTTCAAAGATTAGTCTTCCCGAACGCAAATGATTTCGTATTAGAATGTTTTTCAATTAAACCTAACGCTAGATTTAGGTAGAAAAGTAACATCTACATTACCGGTCGAGAAGATATACAAAAAACATATTTTACAGTTGATTTACGCCCATGTTTCCCATTTTCAGATGTCTGGAGCACGGCTGTCATGTAAACACTTGGTAATTTTGAAGGTTGTAAAACAGACCTAGATTGAAAACTCTGCATTCACTGAATTTTTTAAAAATTCTTCCGTTTTCTGAAAGACATCCCTTTTGACCAGTTTTTTAATTGAAAATAGGAAAAATACAGAAAAATCGGCAATAAGTGGAATTTTCAAAAAATTCTGTGACTGTAAAGATTTCAATCTAGTTCTGTTTTACGCTCTTCAAAATTTTTAAAGTGATCGGAAACTTAACAGCCAAGCATCAGACTCTCGGAAATGGCCAAAAATCAACTGAAAACTATGTTTTTGAATCTCTTATTGACTGGTATCTATCTCATATCCAGATGTATTCATTTTCAGAAAAGACGGCGTTCATTTCAACGTCATTGGCACCCGCTACATGAATCAATTGCTTTTGGGACATTTAGCCACCGTGTGGGAAATTGAAATTCGCAAAAAATGGCCGCCAAGGATTTTGGAGAAGACGCAGGAGTAAGTGTGCCCCAGTGATAATCCGAGAGCGATAGAGCGTATTTGCAGAAAAACTAAATTTTTCACTGTGGCACTTGAATTTCTGCAAGATATGAACACATTGAAGCATCGAAATGAGGAAACTCATGTAAGGATTACGATGATGGCCTAGAAAAACAAAACGAGGCCACAGATGTCAATTTTCAAAAATTTTTTAATTCCAAAAAATTTGGAAATTCGAACATTTAAAAATTCAGAAACTCAAAAATTCAGGAAATTTTGAAAATTTCAGAAATTCCAATTTTCCGAAAACTAAGAAATTCCACGAATTTTTGAAACACCAAAAATTCTATATTTTCAGCAACTCGTTCGTCGTGAGGTTTTTGAAGACTACAAACTACCGAATAGTCAATGTGAAATGTCTTGTCTCCATCAAATTCTTCGTTTCCTATTAGCATTTTTTCGATTTGAAGAGGCTTCGAAATCCAACGCTCGAGGAATCTCTAATGCATTTTCGGCGATGCCAAATGAGTTATCACGGTACTCACAAGAGGATTTGCAGAGGATTTCTGAGATAGTAAGGATGAAAACCCCGAGATTTTGAATTGGTGGCCTTGAAAAATTTAGGTTGAAAAAATTTGGTCACTGTTATATAAAATATGCCAGGAAACTTCTTTCATGAGTGATATTTTTGATTTGTAATTTTTTCCTTTTTTAATGGACTCGAATGATTTTTGTAAACTCTGAAAAAAAGCGAAAAAAAGCAAAAACCATAGTAACAGCTGCTGTAGCCTTTTGGCTCTCGAAAAAAACCCATTATTGCAGAAATACGAATTTTTAAAAATGGTTGAAAGTTTGCTTTTACAGGTAAAACAATGCAGTGCATTGAAGAGTAATCAATTGGGAATTCTGATGAAAACGACGAGTAAACGTGTTCACGAAATGATGGTTAATCCAACGTCTTCACCAGATGCTCCACCTGGAATCAGGATTCGAATGGACGATGATGAAGAAGCGCCAATCGATGGGAATGATGAACTTGAATATGAAGATGATGATATGAATATAGTTGTGTCATCAGATGAATCAGTTTATACATTATCACCACCGAGATCCAGTGGACAAGGATCTTCTTCTGATGGGGTGAGAGAGATTCTCGATTTCTTCCAAAAGATTATTAAAATATTCAAAAACATCGATATTCATGGAAATTCGAATAATTTGAAAATCCAGCAATTTGAAAATTAAAAAAAAAGTTTTTTTTCAGTACTCGAACGGCTCGCCAGCAAGACCAGAACAAAACAAACGATTCCGTTATCAATAGTAATCAATCGACAAAACAGAAAAACAGTCAAAAATGTGTGCATTTGTTTCTCATGTTCCATCACTTTACTTTACTTTTTTTAACCGATCTCTTTTCTTCCCGATTTTTTATCATTTTTTTCCGAAACTCAAATTCTAGGTTTTTCAAATTTCCCCTCCATTTCACCCCTCATATACGGTCTCACAAGCCCTTTTTCTCAAATTTTAAACGCATAATTGTTCCGATAATCACATTTCGTAATTAATTTTCTATTAAATTTTCTTTGGCTTGAAATCTGAAAAAAAGATTATGAAATTCCGTTCAAACATACTTTGAAATAAGTCATTTTTCATAATGTTTTATTAATTAGTTTGTCTGTCTGTGTGTCCAGGTGTCCTTTTTGCCGATGTTTTCATTTTTTCCAGGTTTTAAAAGCACGAATAATGAAAAATTAATTTCAGCTGTTTTTTTTCCAATATTAGCTGTTTTTTTTTAAATTTCCTATGAGATTTTTTTATCGGCAAAAAAAATGGAAAAATCAATTTTTCCGGAAAAAAACAATCGGGAAAATAGGAATTTCTTGATTGTCCGTCCGCTTTTTCCAGTATCCGAATATCCACATCCGTCCCTCTCCCTCTAAGTTCAACGATTAACTAGATCAAAACTCAAAATGTATGTTTTTGATGATGATTCAATCTCAAGTCACAAAAACTACGACGCTTCGCCTCGTTCGTTCTGATCTTAAGATTTCTCGCTTCTCTGCGTCTCACGCTTCCCCCTACACTATTTCCTTCCTTTTCTCTAACCACTCTCCTCGCTTCACACACTCTCTCTATACGAATTGTCATCATTTTTCGGCCAGCCGCTCTTTTTTGCTTCGACCACATTTTCAGTGTTTTTGCAGTTAGAGAGTGAGAGACGCAGAGAAATGGCGTGTTCTTCGAATTTGGACCGGCATACACCCCTCATCATATGTGTGTATTGATTTGAAAATTGAGATAGTTAGAGATAACAAGAAGCGAAGAGGTTTAGAGAAGCCGCGTGCTTCTTGTTTAACTGTCTCCGTATCTCCGGACGAGAGAGTGTCATAACAGAGGAGGACACACGAACACATGTGATTTTGATTGTGTATATTGAAATTTGAATTTTTTTGGTCTGGAAGCTTAGAAGCATCTAGAATGATATGAGCTGATATTTTTTGTTTTTAAATTTGTAGAATTTGTCGTTTGGCAGAAAATTGAGATCAAAAGTTCAAAAGAAACTGGTTTCTCTCTTTTCTATTTATTTTCCTCATCTTTTTGTTCTCTTTTTTCGCTTTTTGGACAGATTTTTTGGCAAACAATTGGGTGATTAATGAAATGATAACCTTTTTTATCGATTTTTTATCTGAGAGTTTCAGTTTTTTAAAAAATAACTTTTGGGTTTTATAGCGGAAAATCTGAAAGCTTATTCTCAATTTCAATTTTTTTAGTAGAAAAATAAAAATTTTCAAAAAAAAGGAAAAAATTCACAAATCAGAAAATTTTATCGGGAATTTCTGGACAAAGACAACTACCGTAACATAAAAATATTTTTATATTCCGGATTTAATTTCTCGATTCTTCGCTGTTTTCCCTCGAGTTTTCTGTGTTTTCCCCCAAAAAAGTCAGAAATTTAAAATTTTTAATAGTGAAAATTGACCTAAAACGTACAAAAATCGAAAAATGAATCCTGAAAAAAAACATATTTTTTAGGTTACTATAGTTGTCTTTGTGAGACCTTCCACGGCCACCGGCATTTCTCTTCCACAGCTCCGATTTTTTTGTACCAGAATGATAGTAATATTTCGTATAATTCAGAAAATCAAACTTCCCGAAAAATCGGAAATTCAGTATCTTAGAATTCAAAAAATTTAGTGCTGAAAGACCAGAAATTCGGAACTTCGACATCTAAAAATTAGCAAATGATTTTCCGGTTTTTAAAAAATCGAATCCTTATTTTTGGGGTTTTTCGGGGAATCTAGTCTTGGGTAGTCCTTTTTTGCAATTTTCCACCGTAACTCCTTTCCCGGTCATTCTATTTCTTCGACCCCATTTTCTTCTCTTTGTTCGATTCATCATTCAAAAACTGATAACCCAAAGAGAGCATCCACGTGATTCTCACGATGCTCGTTCCGTTCGGTTCTCCATCCAAGAAACTTGAAAATTCTCATCAAATTCCCTTCAAACTCATCTCATTTGTCATCAATTTCTCCCTTTATTTTTCCATTTTGATGACCTTTTTCTTCTCATTTTTCTCCAAATTTTCCATATTTTGTGTATAGTTTTATGCTTTCTATCTCGATGTGTGTTTGCTTGTATTTCATGTGCTGACAATAAAATTTTGCTTTTTTTCTCTTCGCTTTCAATATATTTGAAATTGACAAGGTGTCAGGGTCAGGAAATGTGCTCTATTGAACTAGAAAATATGTGGGGAAATCGAGAGAATGATCAAAAAGGCAGAGATCAAAATTTCTGGAAATATCGGAGTTTCGAAAATTTTCAGCAAAAAATTAAAAATATTCGGAAATTCGATTTTCGACCGAATTTTGGATTTTGCGCAATTTTTGGATAGTCCGATAGAGCAAGTTTTCTCACCCACACATTAAAACATTTTCGTTTTCTTCAATCGCTGCATGCTCATTTAACACCGCTTCAAACCGCTTTCTAATCAAAAAGTGTCGAAGTCTCTCATTTTCCAGTGATCTCTCATCCATCCATCCTTCTGATTCTTCATCTCAGTAAAAAATCGATAATCGATTCCAAATGCTCGAATGGGCAACTGGATAACATCGACGTTGCTCCGTTCGTTCGACCTATTTCAACGCCATCATCAACGCCAATTTCAACAGTTTCATCGATTTTTAGAGTATAGCAGAGGTTAGGCACAGACTACATAGACTACAAACAGACTACAAACTACAAACATCCTCGAACAGCAATGTATGCGAAAAAGTTTACAGGATCCGATCCACAGACGGTGCGAACCGCCGCCGAAATCGTCGCACTTCAGAGGATGAAGGTGAGGAAAATTTAGAAATTCGGGAATTTGAAAATTTTGGCTTGGCGGGAATTCAAATTTTTGACTTTTTTTTGAAAAAAAATCTGAGGAATCTGAAAACTTCGAGGTTTTTGAAAATCCAGAATTCTGGAAAAATATTTTATTTTGAAAATTATTATCCTTGTCTGAGAAAAAAAAGGTTGAGACGCAGAGAAAAAGTGTCTGTGTCTCCACCTTATGTGTGCTATTTAGGCTTTCCGCTTCGATATCGCTACCGTATTCAGACTGCAAAAAATACTCTCTAACCTTTTTTTTCTCAGACAAGCATAATAGAAATTCTAAAAATTATGAATCCTGAATTTTAGGAAATTTGAAAAATTGGCAATTTTCGACTGTTTTTTAAGTGAAATTCTCAAAATTCAGAAATTCCAAATTTTTGGAAGCCCGAGAAATTGAAAATCTAGATTTCGAAAAAAATCCCCAAAATCCGCAAATTTGTCATAATCTTTCCCAAAACTTCTAGAACTTTTTAAAAAGTATTCAAAGAACATTCTAGAACGTTCAAGACACCTCCATGTGGTTTGTGACACTAAAAACGACAGGCGACTGCCTACAAAACATGATTTTTTGCCCAAAATCGATATTTTTAGAGGGGGTGATCCCCATTTCTCTCTTCCTCCTCCGATTGAAAGAAGAACACAAAATGCTTCGGAAGTTCTCTCATTTGTCATCAAAACAGACACAGAAACTAGAAGAGACGCAGAGAAAATCAACTGATCTTTCTCTCTCTCTCTCTCTCTCTCTCTCTCTCTCTCCCTCTCTCTCTCTCTCTCTTCCATATAGGCGGCGTTGATGTATTTTCTGTGATCAGTGATAGAGAGTGATAGAGGGAAAGAGACGCAGACATCGACGACCAGTCTCCTTTTCTCTCATTTCTCTACCCAACTCTCCCTGTTTCGCACACTCTCTCGCCGCCCTCTCGCTCCCAAACTGACTACGCCAGTCACTCTCATCTCGTCATCACAACACTTTTTCCCCCTTCAGACCTTTATTAGGACCTTAATTTTTTGTCAAATTTCTAGAATTTTCTAATAATATGCCCTATCGAAGAGGCGGTGGCCCATCGTGTTCTCCGTCGAATTTGAAAAGAGTGAGTTTTTGGAATTTCGCAAAAAAAAAAACTAGAATCTAGTCCTATTTGTGGTATTCGTAGTCGGTGAAGAAAAAATCGGAGATAAATCGATTTTTTCTGAAAAAAAAGTTTCTCAAAATTGCCAAGAAAAAACGAAGGGAATTTCCTTAAAAAGATCGAAAAACCCCTAAAACGTGTTTTTCACTGAAAAACAAATGCTGAAAATCCCAAGAATTTCAATTTTTGTAGTTTTTGTGATTTTCGACATCGAAAAATTCGAAATAAAAAAAAACATTTGAAATTCATCGAATTTTCGCCATTTCCGGGTCTCGACACGAAAAAACGGCTTTCTCGGATTTTTCGGAGACTACAAACTACACATTTTCTTTTTAGAAGTCTTTGAAAAACTCAAATAGACTACAAACTACAGAAAAACGAGTGTCACTCAACTTTCAACTCATTTTGTCATCATTTTTTCAAAATTTTGGCCTGGAAACAGTCTCGAAAATCAACAGATTTCATCTGAAATTCTGTTTTTGGATCATTCCAATAGAGGACATTTGTATCTATCGTTTTTCGAAAGAGTAGATCGAAAAACTTTTCTTTCAAATCACACTTTTTTTTGGCATTTCATTGGTCAAGAAGTTCCCCAAAAAATGATGACTATTCAAAAATCATGACAAAAAGCATAGAATTTGGCTACTTTGTAGTCTATTTAATGTTTCCCGTAGCCTAGTTGTCGGATTCTAGGCCATCATTTAGAAAAATCATCAAAACACCTAAAGACTACAAACTACATGTAATTGGTGTTCGCTTTCTCGAGAGAGGGAGTCCCCCATCTCAAATGATGACAATTTCGCTACGTAAAAAACTACAGTATACCTTGCCCATTTGCCAAAAAAGTAGGCGGAGCCAAGGGAGCTCCGCCCACTTTTATTTTCTCAACTATTCGGGAAATGGAGCATGCGGGAAAAAGAGAGAGAGAGATAAAGAAAGGTGAAAGTGCGCTCTATAGCAGTTTGGGCATTGTGTAACTGTTTCTGGGGCTTTTAGGGCTCAATTTTAGGCTATTTAAGCTGAATTTCTTTCGTTCGATTTGCGTTTTTGACCACCTTTTACAGTCCAAATTATACTGTCTAATAGAGCGCACTTTCACCCCTAGTTTTCTATTCTCTAGGTGGGTGCTGACGCAACTCGAATACTCTTTTTCATCACACTTTTTATTCTGTTCTATTCTTTCTATTTTTCAAACGATGATGCCCTTCTGACACGATTCTAACTAGCTGAACTGAACCTCCTGCCACTCTCCTGATCACGTGTTACAAGAAACAAAAGAAACCGGAAGAAGAAGAAGAAGAAGAAGAAGAAAAAGAAATTGCGAGAACTGAAAAGAAAATGATCTGTGAAATAATAAAAAATGCAGTTGAAAATGCAAATTAGCTCTATTGACAATCACCTGAAGACGATTGGCAATAGAGCGGGTTTGCAAGTCTGAAAGATTTTTGGAATTTTCGAAATCGAGAATTCCAGAATTCTTTATTCCCGAGTAGTCTGAAGTTTTGAAATTTTGAACTTCCGAAATTCGAACATTTCTGAATGTGCATGTAGGGTTCCTACTTTTATGAACTTTCGATTCTGAAGATTTCTGGGTTCCGATTTTTTAGGTCTTCGGATTCTGGAAAAATCGAAAATTTGTGACTTTCAAAATTTTTCAAATTTCTAGATTTCCGATTTCTCTTTATTGGATGAATTTTTTTGATTTTCAAAATGTCCGATTTTTCGAAGTTTTCGGAATCCTAAAAAACCCACAGAGACTGGAATTTCGGGTTTTTGGGATGTCAGAATTACTGAATTTCCGCATTTCGAAAATTTGGAAACTACAAAATAAAAAACCTACAGTAATCCAACCAGTCTAAATACACCTTTTTGCAGAATCGAAATGACAGTGACACTGATTTTTCGGATGACGATGAGGAGACGTCAGGAGGATGTCCGAAAATGACACCACAGGAAGAGCAGAGAATGTTCGAGAGAGAACAACAAATCGCATTCTCTGGTAGATGTACAATTGGAGATCCTGAGGTATGATGATACGCTTTTTAAGATTTCGGACAAAAAAAATCTGAAAATTCGCTACACTGGAAAATTCTTTCAAAGAAATGTTTGTATTCAAATCTCAAAAACTTTCCAAAATTTCAAAATTACACAAAAACCATCAGAATTTTACTTTTTTTAATGCTGACATTTTAAATTTTCTTCTAAATTCAAAATTTGCACACAAATCATAAAGTAAATATCACAATGTTTGTAGTTAATGTGACCAATGGATTAGTGATTATCAACTGTTGAAAGAATGTTTTGGGATTTGATGACAAAAAGAATGCAAAAAAAACAGATTTTTGAAGGAAATCTGAAAAATATAATTTTGGAGGATTACTGTAGTTTTGCTAGAATTTCATTAAAACTACCTGAAAATCTGTAATCTAACTACAAAAATTGAAATCTTAGACCAAAAATTTCCAAAAAAAAAATTTCGAGAACATTCTGGAGAAATTTTAGTGCTTCTCCACGACTTTCTTGTTGTTTGAATCTGAAAAAATGAATACACTGCGTAACATAATTATAAGTTCACTTTAAATTTTGAATGTTTTCGAAAACTGTGAATATGGACTGAACAGGATATGATTGAAGTAAATACTAATTCGGATTGTCAATTAATGAATACCATTTGAGACCGCTACCATTTCTTCAATTTGGCAAAATTGAAAAATCGAAAAAATGGCCCGAAAAAACGTCACATAAGTATAAGTTCAGTTGAATGAAAGATAACTCAAAACACAGATTTTAAATTGTAATGAAAATACAAAATATAGCAAAAAGGGATCAAAATGTATTCATTCATGTGAAAAATTTGGTTGTATCTATACTCAAAATTGGGCCACATCCGTTTTTGACAAACATGTACTGAAAATGAAGTTTTTCGTTAATAAAAAATCTGAAAATACTGACGGCTCTAAATTTTTTAGTTTTGCAGAACTATTCACAATTGTTTTACTCTGTCAACTGTCAAACACAATAAGATCATTCCACAAACCAGGAAAAATTTCTAATTTTAGCTCATTTTTACCACTATGTTCTGAGTGGTGCTGCATCTTTCTAGGTAGGCACCTGATTGAGCTGACTAGCATATGAGGAAGCCAATTATGTGTTCATACAGGAACATACATTAAACTATGAAAATCTGTATTTTGGATTCCTGGAACCATGCAACATTTCTGAGAGACATAGTTTCAAGCCTAAAAATATGCTATGCGGAAGCCATGTTTACGGTGTTGTTTAGTAAGGAAGGAGTCACGCATTCTAAATTTTCTTCTTGTAATCATACTTGCCACCTTTTGAATTTACACATAGAAAATTTAGATTGTTCAAAAAGTTCCACTCTACACATACAATAAACCTTTAAAAATGTATTTTTTGCAAAATCTACCAATTTTTAAGCTCGCATACTACCCCCAGAATCCATTCCTTTGATCTCAAAGTTGCTGAAAACATTGGAAATGTTCAAATTTATGTTTTTGTAGTTGATGTCCCTTTCCAAAACATTCATTGTGGAAAGATATACAGTACCGTATAAAAGGATGTAAACGTAAGGCTTTTCGTCAGATTTTCCCCCTTAAAGTGGACCTATCGGAATTTCTGAATCACTTTGAACATTCTGTCATCCATGCTCAATACGAGATTGTATTTTTTAGGCCGAGAAGAGCATCTGAAAATCGGAATAATCTAAAAAAGGTGAAAAATTCTAAAATTTAGGCGAAAAATCTGGAAATTTCCCTCAAGTAGGTCAAAGTGATCAGCCGCGATTTCGCAATCAGTCAGTAGAGCGCACTTGCTCCAACGCTAAGAATCTGAGAGACCACGCAAATCCCGGGGAAAAAGAACGGGGACTTGTAATTTTTTGATGATAAAATTGGGTCATTGTCTAAAACCAGTTTTGTAGTTTGATCAACAGGTACCGTCACCCTTCTAGCTTCTACCGTAATCCACCTACCTTCACCAGACCATCATCTCCCGCACTGTAGATCAAATTCGAGCCGTAATCCGCGAAACACACCGAATTCACGTCATCCTCATGGGCATTCACAATCGTTCGAATCCGTCGACGTTGCTCAACGTCGAAGACGTGGATACTGTATTCAGAAGTCCCACAAACGATTTGTTCGGAATCGTCGGAGAACCGGACGCAGAACACCGCGCATTGGCTGGAAAAATAGGCTTTTTAAGGGCCGATTTTCGGATAAAATAATGGTAGCCTAGGTTTCCTAAAGTAAAGTTAGGCCAAGGGCTTCAAATCAAGTTAAAGGAGGACTCCGACCAAAAATTTTTATT